GTTACACCAACAGAGATAAGGAAACAATTCATTTTCCAAGGAATTTGCCTTGAGGTGGAGTGTTTCTCAATTGCTTGATATCTGATAAGGAGATGCTGGGGGTAGTGGTCACAGCCACATGCTCTACTGCCCTCTGCTATGCGAGTCCTCTGCACCACAGCTGAGCTGGGTGAACCAGAGACCTCAGCACAGGCACTTCGGGAGCTCAAGCCCAAAAATCCAGGCTCCCAAGCACACTGCAGCTGCAGCCTCTCCCCCAGGAAGCCCTATGCTGGTGCAAATCCATTAGCATCCTCTGCTCCGTCCTCCTTCCCCCAGGCACATTACCTCACAAGGTATGGTAACCTGCTCACTGCTTTGGTGAAGGCACAGCAGACACTCGGAGCTCCTCCCAGCAGGAAAAATAAAGTTTTGCCTACACCTGTGCCACAACACAGGACCAAAGGGCCCAGGGCTCCTGATGTGTACAGTACATTGTGCGTCTGTGCATCTTGCTGCTCCAACTTCCAGCACACAGCCCTTCAAACGCAGAAACGAAGAAGATTCTGACCAGGATTAGGGGGGCCCTGCCTCCAGCCAGGGGGAGGAAAGGACAATCGAGTTTATTGGACTGTGTGGATTCAGTGGCCTGGAACGTCAGACGCACAGAAGTATAAGGCTTTAGTAGACAGCGGTGCACAATGTACTGTAATGCCATCAAGCTATAAAGGGCCAGAGCCCATCTGTATTTATGGAGTGACAGGGGGATCTCAGCAGTTGACTGTATTGGATGCTGAAGTGAGTCTGACTGGGAATGAGTGGCAAAAGCACCATATTGTGACTGGCCCTTTTTCCCGATTGTTTTCTTTTGCAACTCACGTACCTGTGCCTCTAGGGTCACGGTAGATTTTCCATCCCATTTTCTCATGTCCTCTCCATGGTCTCGTAAGTAAAACCACAGGGTGGCACAGGGTGAGTACCCACCATATTGTCTTCCTTGTGTGGATGAACGCCTACCCCTGATAGCTGAGACACTGGTTTGTACAGGTGGGGAGGAAAATAATCTCTCTTCAAGTTGGTGAACCTTTTCAGAAAGTTTCTCCACAGTGTTCTCTTTTAGTTGGTGGACACTGGTTTGTTCGGGTGGGGAGGAAGATAGATTCTCTTTAAGTTGGTGGAACTCTTCAGAAAGTTTCTCCACAGCCGAGACACAGGCCTGTAAGGACGAGGAGAGACTTTCTTCGTACTGCCGGAGTTGTTTAGCCACTGTGGGTTCCTCATCCTCTTTCCAGGCCATTATTGCCAACAAGCTGGCATGATGATGGTGCAGTCCGTACAAACTTCCACCACATGGGTCGTGTACACTTGACTTCATCTGTGTCTGTGGATGTTTGTCTGAGGTCTGGATCCTCATAAATCACTTCCCGTACGGCTAATTCCCTCAGGTACTGGATTCCCTTCTCCATAGTGGTCCACTTGCCTGGTAGACATAAAAGTTCTTCCTTGAAGGGATACCTTTCCCTCACAGCTGACAGGTGACACCTCCAGAGGCTGTGAGATTGTGCTCCATCTGCAATTGCTTTGTCGATTCTTGCGACCCTAGCAAGGGATTCCAGCCGCCTGGCTTCCCTGCCCTCTAATTCCACACAATTGGCTCTGGTGTCCCAGCACCAGAGCAGCCAGGTGACAAGCTGCTCACGTATGCAGCGACCAAAATCTTTTCGCACAACTTGTAGCTCACGCTGGTATAGGTTTCAGGTAGTTATTGTTGATTTTTCGGCATCCTCATCTTCCTCCTCCTGAATCCCTGACGTCCCAGCCTCGTCTTCTCTATACCTAGACTTAACAGAAGACTCTCTACGTTCTAAACGACCTGAATCTCTATACCATTTTTTCACCTTCTCTACAGGGGCAACTTGCACTGCTACAGCTCATTTCTCTGACCCAGACAGAGGAGCTGGAGCGGCTGCAGAGTCCATCATAGGGGTTGGAGTGGCTGTTGGGTCTGTCACAGGACTTGGAGTGGCCGCAGGGTCTGTCGCTCGGTTGACAGTAGCATCAGTTGCAGCCCGATAGGCATGGGCCAGACCCCAGCACGTTACAGTGATTTGTGTCACTTTGGAACTGTCAGAGTCATTACACCCTTTTTTTCAAGCATTCTGCCAGTTTTTGAGGATTTTGCATTTGTTCAGGGGTGAATTTCCAAAACACTGGAGGTGCCCACTGCTCTAGAAACCTGCCCATATCCTCCCGCAGTCCCTGCCACTCACAACTATCCTGCCTCAAGACAGATCTCTGGATGAGATTCCTAAGTAGTTGTTTAACCTTAAACAAAACCTGAAGCGCATTTAGGAGACATAACAACAAGACCATGCTGGTCTGAGTATCCCAAGGATATTCAATATTTTGGAGAACTATTGCAAGAAGCTCAGAGGATAAGAGGGAGGTGAAGGAGAAAGGGAGAGTGAACAAGTAAGAAAAAATATCTTCCCCTTTCCCCTCCGCAGATTGGCTCCCTGACGAAAAAAGGCAATAGGTGTAATTGTTAATAGTTTCCTAGATATGGTTTCCAAAGTATAGAGTCGACGACAGTGCTGACTACAAATACCAGGTTGGAGTCATGACCAGAAATTTCATCCTATCATAAGCCATATACTCTAATACTTATACCAATTTTAGTTTAACACACTCTGGTCAGATCTGTCATTATCTCAACCCTTCAAGCCCCACGTTGGGCGCCAAAAAGGAATGTTGTGGTTTAACCCGGCCGGCAGCTAAACACCACGCAGCCGTTCGGTCACCCTCCCCCCTCCCTCTCTGGGATGGGGGAGAGAAATGGGAAAGTGAAGCCCGTGAGCTGAGATAAAGACAGTTTATTAAGACAGGAAAACAATAATAACAATAATAATAATAACAATAATGATGATAACAGTACTACTAATAATAATGTGTACGAAACAAGTGATGCACAATGCAATTGCTCACCACCCAATGACCGATGCCCAGCTTAACACCAAGCAGTCCGGCCCCCTCCCCCCAGCTAGCCACCCCTATCTGTTGTTCAGCATGACATCAGATGGGATGGAATACCCCTTTGGCCAGTTTGGGTCAGCTGTCCTGGGTCTGTCCCCTCCCAGCTCCTGCTGCACCCCCAGCCTGCCCACTGGGAGGACAGAGCGAGAAGCTGAAAGGTCCTTGGCTTGGTGTAAGCACTGCTCTGCAGCAATTAAAACATCAGCATGTTATCAGCACTCTTCTCATTCTAAGCCAAAACATACCACCCTACCACCTACTAGGAGGAAAATTAACTCTGTCCTAACTGAAACCAGCACATCACCTCACTTGGAAATTTAATTTATTTTTCTCTGAGGCAGGGCTACACCAACCTGGTTTTCACTGGCAGCGCCCCGAAGTCACTCCCTGCCTTTTGCCTTTTCTTTCTTTGTTGTAACTGAGACAAAGACAACTGCTGTGTCTGTCTGTAGTCACTCATCCCAGCAGCTCCTCAGTATGGCAGCCACAACAATATCCAGTGGGAAAGCCAAGTCAAAGGCCAAAAAAACCCTAGAAAATCACATTTTGGTGCTCACTGCACCTGAGGATGACTGGCACATAACAGCTAGCCACACTGCTAGCCTCCTACCTGCCAAAACAAGGTGACGACACACAAATTTTCCTGCCTATAATACACAGCATTTGGCACTGTAGCAGCCTTTCCAGCTTTCCAGCTGTGACTTCATACAGTTGACCAAGTGCTCATCACCAGAGGGGCCTCTGAGGTTCAGGTGAGCCACACAGAGTGACCTACGGGGCTTAAGGTGATCTTCTCCGATCCCACCCCAGCACAGCAGTCAGACACCTCCCCAGGTGCAAACAGGTGAGATGTCCACTGCCTCCAGCTTGAGCTCACACAGCACGAAGCATCTCCCAGGAGGACAACAGCACAGCACTCAGAAGCTGAGTCACGGAGACAAGGTTTCACAGGAGATTAGCTTTGATCTTGTGGAGGTGTGGGAACTTCTCAAGGTTTTGTTATTAGCAAGGCTTGGGTCTAGATATCCCTTGGCAGGATGTGCCACGCTCAGCAACAAGAGCATACAATGCCTGCAAAGCACTTCACAGCTCCACACTCCCAAACAGTGCAGGACACCCAATATCACGCACTGTGAACTTGTGAGCACCGTCCTGGGGATGCTCCTAAGGCTAGTCCTTTCCAACCAGCACCCTGGAATGGAAGCCCACCATCTCCACCTGCCACAGACGTGCTGCTGTTTCTGCTGGCTTAACAGGAAAGGGCAACCCAGTCACCTGCTCCACCAGCAGCCCCTCAGGGAGGGCACCAGAGGGCAAGAGCAGAGGGTGCAGGAGAGTTCAGCTGTTGCCTATGGTATGACCTAAACACTGTGCTCACTTCACCGCGCAGGAGGCACACGACATGGGCATCAACTGGAGGAGCCTCCAAGGCTCCCAACCACACAACAAGTTCCTGGGAAGTGTGGCAGGACACAGACACTCACACAAAGCAGCAGTAAAATAAATCACAGTCCCACCTGCTGCCAACAACACAGGCTTTTGCTTGGTGATGACAGGAGATAGCCACAGCAGAGAGGGATGGGCCTTGCCAGGAAGGAGTTTCAGCCTTCCCTCTCCCTCCGTCTGGAGAAATGGGACAAACCCTCAGAGAAGCTGTTTTTCGTTAGTGCCCTTTCTGTGAGTGGAGCCTGGGATGGAGCTGCTGCCAGGCCTTTCATGTCCTACAGCCCTGCTGGATCCCTCAATACATACCATAGCAAAAGCCTTTCACTTAATGAATTGCTTTCAGAAATGTATCAAAATTTCCTATTTGCCCCACAAAGGGAATGCAAATAAAGTATTTATATAAAATCTTCCCACTTCCCTCCTCCTCCAAGAGGAGGAAGCACTGTGATGCTGAGTTGGCAGCACAGACAGGCTTAGCACTGGGAGACACAGTAGAAGAAGAGAGGCAATGCTTGGGGAGGAAGAGCTAGACACAGCCCTACCTGATTGTGTTCAGGAGACGATGAGCCCTTCCCTCTGGATGGGGAACAGCGGTCATCAAGCTGCTCACTACAATCTGCCGTCCACTGTAAAAGGGATAGAAAGGCATTGTGTAAAATAATAGCTGGACAGGGGAAACTGCTGTCAGCCCACATAATGCAGCAAACACCGTCTGGGCCAAGGGCATCCCTGTACAACTGTGGGTAAGCGTGTTTTTAGGAGGGACTGTTGGCAAAAGGCAGCGTGACTCATGCCCCTTGCTCTGCCAGGAGCAGCCCCAGCCTTCCCTCCGCGGCACCATCTCTTTTTCCAGAGAAACAGGGCTCCATTTTACACGAGGGATGATCTCAAAAGCTTTGGCTGGGAAATGCTCCACCCACGGACGGCAAGCAGAGGAAAGATTCATGAACAATTGCAGGAAACTCCAGGAGAAGCTGTCATCACTGAAAGCCGCGAGAACCATCCCAGCACACTGGCCGCAATGCCGAGGGCAGCCAAAGAGTGCTCTGCAAGAAAAACACCCTCTGCTTTTCCCTGCAGGCTCCAAACTCGGTGGCTTGGGGCCAACGCAGCCAGCCTACCTCAGCTGCACCTTTACAGAGGATTGGGGGGGGGGTAAAAAAAAAAAAAAAAAAAAAAAGTGATGTTTTTATTTTTAAATGAAACAGAAAATAGTGCTGCAGGTTCAGCTAAAACATTATACCACAGCTGCAGCAATGCATCGAAGAATTTCAGTTTGGGGCCATTTGATATCCACCTCCCAAAGAAGAGATGAGCTACAGCATATTGTCAAAACAAATAATAAAGCAACTTTCTCTATACAAACAGGAACAATACTATTTAAACGATACTGTTTAATCCTAAAGTCATTTTGATTTCCCTGCCACAGCTGAGACCTAACCTTTTTGACCATTCCCATTTCTGAGGTCTTTCATCCTTGGACTGTCGCTGCATGGGTGTACTCATATCATGGAAAATAAATAAAATTTAAAAAGGATTCCCTCCAAACAGCAACTAATTGAGAGCTTCTTGGCAGGCACAGATGAAGCCATGGAATAGGACAAAGAGTCTAAAAGCCACATAAAGTGATCCCTGTGTTGGAAGGGCCATGCCAGGCGCCCAGCAGGCTGTCACACCCCACCTCTGCCTCGCACTACCCCTTTCATGGGCTGCTTCCCCCATGTGCTGCTCCTGGCAGCACGTCAGAGCCTTCTGCCAGACTCACTGGGCATGGGGATCAGCTATTTAGGATGTGGCACCAGACGCGTCCCCTCTCCGGCAGAGGAAGTGTTACCGCAGGCATGAGGAAGTGCACTGCGGAGACACTGAATAACTTGCCCCAAGTTAAATATTAAGTCTCCAGAAGAGCCTTGCAGTTAAAACAGTTTTCTTGGTCTCAGTCCAGCACCTTAGCCATAAAGCCATCCTTTTTCCTCCAGCTCTCATTGAAAGGGAGCCTGCTGCCTTCAATCAGGCTGGCAAACCAATGCACCCCGCACCGGCTCCAACACAGTTACTCCAGCAAGGGGCAGGATACGTGTGTGTTTATGGCTTGCTTTGATAAGGAGCAATCACGAAGAGAAAAACAGAAATAAATGATTCCTGCTCATTTCTTACACAAGTCTGGAGTATTGGGCAGGTGGGAAATTTCACTGGAGCCACACAGAAATCCTATTTCCAAGTAGATACTCATCATCTGAGGTACAAACACATCTAGCTGCTTAACTTGAGATGCCTTTAAAAGTGGTCTAATTAAAAGGTTCACCGTTCAGATCTTCTGTTACTATTTTTCCTCTAAAATAAAATCTGACTATCTTTAAAGGCAGTATCCCTAGAACTGACAAAAAAAAATAAAAAAAATGCAGTGCCTTTCATGCAGGCAGGACATGGAGAAAAGTCAAAGCCCCATTTCCACAAAAACAAGATGGATTTGGTTGTGACAGCCAGGGAAGAATCTTAATGCAAAAACTGTAAATGGGTCCTCACGAGAATTAGCATCTTTTGTCCTGAGGATGCAGACTCCAGGACAGAGGGGCAGACCAAATCCCATTTACCAACTATGCTCCTATCTCACGCTCAGTCTGGGTAATAGCTTTTAAGTGAGTTCTCGATTTCATTTACCTTTTCCTTTAAAGGAAAGAGCAAATCAGGATGAGAATTTTCCTGCTGTTCAGAGTTAAACCTCCTCTGAATTGCAAAGTGGTTAAAAAACTTTGACTATTAATTTATTTCTAATTCAATAGTGTTTTTCAACTTGACACGTTAAATAAAGCAGTGCTTGCCTGTTTGACCTGATGCCCCTCCAAAGCATCACTTCAAACACAGCCATTTTCCAGCCTGGGGTAATAAAAACATGCATCATTGAAGTGCTTGGGATCACCTGATTTTTAAATATATTTTTCCCCACTTATAATGGATTTGATCATCAATTCACAAAAGACCTCTCTTCAGCAAAACCTATTCTTTAGAAGGTTCCCTTTACAGGTAATTTCTTCATGCCAATACATCATACTTGTAGGAAGAACGGCTGAAGTCATGACACACACAAATATGGTCAGATCATGCTCCCTTTTTTACCCAAATAGCCTGATTCTTATAGCAAACTTAACAGGGGTGGATAGTATCTCACACAAGATTATTGGTCAAAAGCACTCAGACAAACAACTGCAAGAAAACAACCCCACCTGCAAGAAAACAACCCCCTTGTGATTAGCAGTCACGTAGACCTTGTCCTTGAAGCCAGCTGCTGGCAACAATATTTTTAATTCCTCAGTCGGGCGATAGAAGAAAATCGTTATGGCAACTCCTCATAGTCATCCTGATAGCTTGGCTTGCTCAGCTGCAACAAGTCATGGCCTCCTTGCTTTTGTTTCAAAAAATCCTCAACAATTCCCCCTTATTCTTTTTGAGCAAACCAAGCCTGATGTAACAGTTTTGCAAGTAACCTTTTAACCACATTTATTACAATACAACATGCAATGATGATTGACACCACAACAAACAGAATCCTTAATCCCTCTTTGACTAATCCCAGTAACCATCTAGGCATCGTTTCAAACAAATCAGTGAGCCATTAATCGAAAGGATTGATATCATATTGAATCTTTCTCATGTGCTCTTTCAGGAAAGTAATGGATTTGTGAATTGACTCACTATGATCAAAAAGGTTCAAATAGCACATTCCCTCAAAGTCCTCACACCCATGCCCCTGAGCCAAAAGCAAGAAGTCAATAGCAGCTTGATCCTGTAAGAGCGCATGTCGCAGACTATTTTGATCTGGTAACATCTCCTCAAGTATCTCTGTCCTGGCATGGGCTTGCTTCTCAGCCCAGCATACCAATTTTTCCAAATTATTAAGTGCAGCCACAGCTGCTGCTCCTGGCACGAAAATTGCCAGTGCTGCTCTAGCTGCAACACCAAGCAATTCAACATTATCATTGCAATCCGGTGTGAGCAATGCCCATTTATGTCTGGTGATCTTAGGCAACTGTGACAAGCTAGGAGCAAATACAATGAGTTTACCTAAGTAACATGGACATCCGATAGCATTTGCAGGGATACCTTGCCAGGCCCTATCCCTGCAAATCAGAAAAACATCAGGAGGTAAGGCCATAGCTGTATGATTATTCCAAACGCTATAGTTGTTACCCCTTGTCTCCGCGCCATAGGCCCCTAAACCCTGCCTAGCAGTGTCATTGTAACCACAGGTGTTATTTGTATTTCTGTACCCGTATGGCCCTTCTGAAGTCACATTTGTCCACCTTGTTGGATTGTGTTTTTTGAAAGGATTTAATCTTTGCTGTAAATTACCGAACACAAAACATGTTTGAGTCCAATTCTGTGATGTGTTCCCAATCCTCTGAGACCCACGTAACTGTAACTCTTGTGGATCCCAGGGCAATGAGACAGTAAGCGAATTTATCAATTTCGCTGAGCACACAGCTACAGATGAGGCATTGCAGTGATTGTTGGTAGCATATTGGCCAAACTCAGAAGGGTCATACACAGGTATACCTATGAGGCAAGTCCTGAACGGATCTGTGGACGATGCCATGGACAGACAAAATTCTGACATACCAGTCTGATTAGCCCATGTCACCCAAAGATTTCGTTGATTTCACTGAGGCTTGATCTTGGTTATGAGCGCAAGCCCTGCTGGCAGTATTAGAATCAATCACCATCAACAACTTCCCCGTCCCTTGAGACATCTTGGGAAGTGTCCTGGTTTCAGTTAGGACACAGCTAATTTTCCTCCTAGTAGCTGGTAGGGTGTTATGTTTTGGCTTAGGATGAGAAGAGTGCTGATAACATGCTGATGTTTTAATTGTTGCAGAGCAGTGCTTACACCAAGCCAAGGACCTTTCAGCTTCTTGCTCCATCTTGCCAGTGGGCAGGCTAGGGGTGCAGCAAGAGCTGGGAGGGGACAGACCCAGGACAGCTGACCCAAACTGGCCAAAGGGGTATTCCATACCATCTGACGTCATGCTGAACAACAGATAGGGGTGGCTAGCCGGGGGGAGGGGTCCGGACTGCTCGGGGTTAGGCTGGGCATTGGTCAGCAGGTGGTGAGCAATTGCATTGTGCATCACTTCTTTGTACACATTATTATTAGTAGTAGTACTATTATCATAATAATTGTTATTATTATTGTTATTATTATTTTCCTGTCTTAATAAACTGTCTTTATCTCAATTCACGGGCTTCACTTTCCCATTTCTCTCCCCCATCCCAGAGAGGGAGGGGGGAGGGTGAGCGAACAGCTGTGTGGTGTTTAGCTGCCAGCCGTGTTAAACCACAACAGGCAGCCTTCACAAATTGGCTTGGCACCCACTCTGGTCCTGCTCACATGCTGCGAGTCTGATACAATACTGCGTCCCGCGTCTCTCCGCGTTCTGTGTCTCACCGCATCTCTGTTCCGCGTCCTTTTTTTTTTTTTTTTTGTCCATTATAATCAGCATCAATTATCCTTGGCAAAACAAACAATCCGGTCAAAGATGTACTTGATTGTCCTAACAGCAATACATTACGGTCATTCCCACTCCAATTGATACAGTCAGGTAGAAGATTCCTAGAAATACTAATGAAATTCCAACATGGAATGAAACCCCTACAGCACCACACTCTTTGAAAACTTTTTTCAGCTCCTGGGATTTATTGAGTTTCTTGTTTTCACTGCTGAGATCTGTGGCTGCCTTTTCAGGGGATCCACCCACATCCTTGGCCAAGCTGCCGGCGGCGGTCCGCAACGCCAACAGAGGGGCCGGCGGGCTGAGTGGGGGGGGCAGCCCGAGGGTGGGGGGTGGTGAGGGGAAAGCAGCGGTGGCGGCGGCGAGCGGGGGCCCATGGGGCGGCAGGCCCGGTCACAACAGCAGGCAGAACATGGCAGCGCCCAATGCGTGCAGGTAGGTGCTCAAACCGGAGAAACGCAGCAGCCGGCAGCGGGGCAGGCGGGCGGATGCCCAGAGCTGACAGCAGGGCAGGCAGCAGGGCTGGCGGCGCTTTGCACCAGGCGTTCTGTCAGTCCCAGGCGGTACTGCTAGAGCTTGCGCTGCCACCATCACCTCCTGCTGCTCGGCTTTCATACCACACAGCGCATTAATCACTGTCCGCCACATCCCACTCACTTCTTTATCCAGCTTTCCACTTGAGATGACTTTATCCCATAAGCGATCTCCTACCTCCCGCCACTCTGGACTCACAGAGCTACTCGTGCCCCATCTTCACTGACTCCTCTGTTCTCCCGTAGAAGTTTTGAGGTCCAGCTTGATCACCAATGTCCCGGGTCCCGGTTCAGGCGCCATTTGTCGCAGGAAGAACGGCCGAAGTCATGACACACACCAATATGGTCAGATCATGCTCCCTTTTTTACCCGAATAGCCTGACTCTTATAGCAATCTAGCAGGGGCGTACAGCTTCTAACACAAGATTATTGGTCGAAAGCACTCAGACAAACAACTGCAAGAAAACAACCCCCTTGTGATTAGCAGTCACATAGATCTTGTCCTTGAAGGAAGTGCCAGCTGCTTGCAACAATATTTTTAATTCCTCCATCGGGCGATAGAAGAACATCATTATGGTAACTCCTCGTAGTCATCCTGGAAGCTTGGTTTGCTCAGCTGCAGCAAGTGATGGCCTCCTTGCTGTTTCAAAAATCCCTCAACACATACTAATAAATAAAGCACATCCCACAGCAAGCCCGGCTTGGGAAGAGGTGCCCTGACCCCCCTGCAGCCATGGGGCAGAGGGAACCTTGTTACCCACGCAGCGCCGGTGATTGAGGATTGCTGCCCATCTCCTGGGCAAAGGGAAGGGACTGAGCCCTCCTGCAGGACTCCTCACCCCATCCATTATTAAACACCTCCCGTCCCTTCTGGAAAGCCCTGGCAAGGCCTAATGGGTTAATGGGTATTGCTTCATTAGCTAAGTCCCCTAACAAGGGAGAGTCTACCCTGGCTTCAAGTCCTTCTTACCCAGGCCCAGTGTACACAGTTTATAGCCTGCACCTGTTCTTCTACCATTCTGCATGGCAGGAGAGCAGCATGCCCAGCACCCCACTGCATGGACCTGAGTTCACTGCAGCCTCACAAACCCAAGGGCACAGAGCAGAGTCCTTCAGCTCCCTGCTGCGTGAGTCCCATGCCATTTGGCCATCCCATCTCCAGGAGCGCTGGCTCCACGATACGGAGGATTTCCCTCAGGACAACAGCATCAGTTCAGGAGGTTTAAATTTCTCCTCGTGTGGGAGCCAAAAAGCCAATTTTTAAAGTTTTGGGTTTTTTTAGATCCTAATGACACCACCAAATCTCATCTCCCCTAAGCGATCACTCTCTTTGCTGGGTATTCACATCCTCTGTAGCAGAGCAGTTTGCTTCTCTGACACAACACTCAGGAAGCAAGCAAACAGGTTATTGTACATATTAAAATGTGCAGTGGCATGACACAGTGTTAGGGGGCACATGGGGCTTTTAATGCCTTTAGTATCTCTGTCTCTTCACTAACATCCCTGTGCACACAGAGAAAAGCAGCACAGGCATGTAGGGATGTGGGAACACTTCTCAATATTTGGATACTCCCTGCTGGGTCTCCGCAGCTCTTCCTAAAGCTGGTGGGATTTTGTGGGTGAAGCAATGCGTTGTTTGAGACAGACTCCACTCACATGCACCCGTTCCTAAGGGACAGAGTGGAGATGCCATCCAAACAGCACCCATTGCTTCCAGACATGTGCACCCTGCCGGCCCCTGTGTGCAGGGCAGCCTCTCACCAGTGTCCTTCACTTGACAAAGGAACCCTGGAGAAACCAAAAAAAAAACCTCAAGGCACACCCTGAGACCACTTCATGATAAATACAAAACACAGCTGGGGAGTGCTCACACCTGGCTGAAGCAGAAAGCTGCCCCAAATCCAGCATTTCACTGCATTTCTACACTAGGAAAGCTGCTTTGGCATTGCCCAGCCCTGCAGTCCCCCTCAGCCCATGCTCCTCACCAACCTGCAAGATGTTGGACTGCATCTTCTCACTCTCCCTGTCCCCCTCCATCTTGTTGGTCAGCAGCCCCTGCACCTGGTACTCCAGCACGTAGCTGTCAATGAAGCGCTCCAGCTCCTCGATCTCCTGTGAGCGGCTGCTCCCTGCCTCTGAGGAGGCGGATGCCACTGACGAGCTTTCCATCACTGCAGCTGGGACAGTGGGAACGGAGGGGGCCTGAGAAGGAAAAAGGATGGAAATTGAGTTCTTGGTCACCTGCTGAGCAGCACCTGCCTCTCCCACCAGCACAGATGCCCCCTTCTTCCTTCATGAGCCCTCTTCTTCCTCCATGAGCAAGAGGCCCATCTTGTGATCCTACACATAAGGGCCACAACAACATTTGCCTATCCTCCTCACAACCAAAGCTGTAGAAAACCTCTAGAAACATGCCCAATAAATTAACAAAGCTTAATTTAAAAGGCCCGTGACATTGGCTGCACTGGAAGCGGAAGGATGATGAGGTTCGCGTTGTGGCTGGGGACATGAAAAGGACAGGAACTGCAAAGCTTCTCTAGGACCGTGGCAGTAAGCAAGGTGCTGAGTCAGCAGTGCGCCTGCTAACAGTCCAGGGAGGAGGTTTGGATGTGGAGGTGAAACAGTGATCACACCAGAATCTATTTTTAAAACCTCCGCTTGTTAAAAATGCATTAGAAAAAGGGAAAACATCCTGCAGAGCACCACAGTGTGGCTGGCTGGCAGCCCCGGAGGAAGCCACAGGCGATGCTGTGCTCAGTGTAGAGACCACATTGCCCCCCAGGGACGGATGGCAGCGGCTCTGCCTCCACAGGGATGCTGCTCTGCAGAAAACAAGGACTTTAGGGGGCTTGTACCTTAAGGTGTGCTCAGGGTGCAGACTGGCAGGTAGCCCAACCAGGATGCAAACCTTCTGAGCAGCAGCAGTATGGATCACTAGGTGCTCTCTGTGCAGATTTTAAATGTATTTAAATGTATTCTTACTGGTGAGAGTCAAAATACAGAGCAAAGGAAGAAAAGGCTGTGCAAACACAAATAGATGCAGGTACCAAATTAAAGACTGGATCTCAATGCTTGGTTCAGCTACCTAACTGTCCTGACACTAACCCCTCCCTCCAGTTCCTGCTCCAGAAGCACAGCCTTCTCCTAAAAGCTCACATGTAGACTACTGCTAGCACAATAAGAAGCCATTACCCAGGGGGCTTATGTTACAAACCCTACTGGGAGAGTAGGACAGTCTCATTCAGGGCACATATCACCAAGGAATTAGGAGCTCTGCTGCAAAACAAAACCAGAGCCCTATGCATTCCCAGCAATAACCCCTGCCCCTCTCCAAAGCCAACACATGCGAATGGATGCACACCTGAGTACTTGCACGCCTCTGCAGGAGATACCAGGGACTGAGTTCAAACCCCTTTTATCTCCTCTGATCCACAGAGGAAATGAAGAACTTCAGCATAAGGCTTCTTTGAGGCTTCTTTGCCTCAGTCTTTAGCAGCAATACCGGTTGTTCTCTGGATACCCAGTCCCCTGAGCTGGTGGAAGGGGATGGGGAGCAGGATGTGGCCCTCACTATCCACGAAGAAATGGTTGGCGACCTGCTACGGCACTTGGATGTGTACAAGTCGATGGGGCCGGATGGGATCCACCCGAGGGTACTGAGGGAACTGGCAGAGGAGCTGGCCAAGCCGCTTACCATCATTTATCAACAGTCCTGGCTATCAGGGGAGGTCCCAGTCGACTGGCGGCTAGCAAACGTGACGCCCATCTACAAGAAGGGCCAGAGGGCAGACCCAGGAAACTCTAGGCCTGTCAGTTTGACCTCAGTGCCAGGGAAGCTCATGGAGCAGATTCTCTTGAGTGTCATCATGCGGCACTTGCAGGGCAACCAGGCGATCAGGCCCAGTCAGCATGGGTTTATGAAAGGCAGGTCCTGCTTGACGAACCTGATCTCCTTCTATGACAAAGTGACGCGCTGGGTGGATGAGGGAAAGGCTGTGGATGTGGTCTACCTTGACTTCAGCAAGGCTTTTGACACCGTCTCCCACAGCATTCTCCACAAGAAACTGGCTGCTTTTGTCTTGGACTGGCGTATGCTTCGTTGGGTTAGAAACTGGCTGGATAGCCGGGCCCAAAGAGTCGTGGTGAATGGAGTCAAATCCAGTTGGAGGCCAGTCACTAGTGGAGTTCCCCAGGGCTCGGTACTGGGGCCGGTCCTCTTTAATATCTTCATCAACGATCTGGATGAAGGTATTGAGTGCACCCTCAGTAAGTTTGCAGATTACACCAAGTTAGGTGCATGTGTCGCTCTGATCGAGGGTAGGAAGGCTCTGCAGGAGGATCTGGATAGGCTGCACCGATGGGCTGAGGTCAACTGCATGAAGTTCAACAAGGCCAAGTGCCGGGTCCTGCACCTGGGGCACAATAACCCCAAGCAGAGCTACAGGCTGGGAGATGAGTGGTTGGAGAGCTGCCAGGCAGAGAAGGACCTGGAAGTGATGGTTGATAGTCGGCTGAATATGAGCCAGCAGTGTGCTCAGGTGGCCAAGAAGGCCAACAGCATCCTGGCTTGCATAAGAAGCATTGTGGCCAGCAGGGCTAGGGAGGTGATCGTCCCCCTGTACTCAGCTCCGGTGAGGCTGCACCTCGAGTACTGTGCTCAGTTTTAGGCCTCTTACTACAAGAAGGACATCGAGGTGGCTCAAAAGAGTCCAGAGAAGGGCAACAAAGCTGGTGAGGGGTCTGGAGTGGCTGAGGGAGCTGGGCTTGTTCAGCCTGGAGAAGAGGAGGCTCAGGGGTGACCTTATTTTTTGACATTCTAATGGAGATTAGGCGGAAACAGAGAGTGTTTCGCTACTGGAAGGAGGGCCGGGTGACATGGAAAGAATACAGGGATGCTGTTCGTGTTTGTAGGAAGAAAATTCGTGTGGCCAAAGCACACCTAGAGTTGAAGCCGGCTGTGTCTGTGAGAGAAAATAAAAAGGGTTTTTTTAGATATGTGAATGGAAAAAGGAGAACTAAAGAATACATAGGGCCGCTCCTTGATAGGGAAGGTCTTCTCACAGACGATGACATAGGCAAAGCAGAGACGCTTAACGCTTTCTTTGCCTCTGTCTTCAATGCCGATGATGGGCTTTGGGACCCAGGGTGCCCTGAGCTGGAGGACCGGGACGGTGGGGATGACAAACTCCCAACCGACCCTGAACGTGTGCGGGATTTGCTACTCCACCTGGATCCCTACAAGTCCATGGGTCCGGATGGGATTCATCCCCGGGTGCTGAAAGAGCTGGCGGACGTCATCGCGGAACCTCTCTCAATTATTTTTCAACGATCCTGGGATTCTGGAGAGGTCCCGGTAGACTGGAAACTGGCAAATGTTGTGCCGATTTTCAAGAAGGGTCAGAAAGAAGACCCTAGCAATTACAGGCCTGTCAGTCTCACGCCAGTGCCTGGTAAAATCATGGAGAAGATGGTTCTCGAACTTATTGAGGCGCACCTGGGGGACAAAGCAGTCATTGGTCCCAGCCAGCATGGGTTTGTGAAGGGCAGGTCCTGCCTAACTAACCTGATTTCCTTTTATGATAAGATCACCCGTATGGTGGACCAAGGGAAACCAGCTGATGTGATTTTTTTGGACTTCAGCAAGGCTTTTGACACGGTCTCCCATAGGATCCTACTGGACAAAATGTCCACCATACAGCTAAATAAAAACATCATACGATGGGTGAGCAATTGGCTAACGGGCAGGGCCCAAAGGGTTATGGTGAATGGCGCTGTGTCAGGCTGGCGGGCGGTCACTAGTGGGGTCCCTCAAGGCTCCATTTTAGGGCCGGTACTTTTCAATATTTTTATAAACGATCTGGATGTAGGAATAGAAGGTATTTTGAGCAAATTTGCCAATGACACCAAACTTGGAGGAGTTGTGGACTCGAACGAGGGTGGAAAGGCCTTGCAGAGGGATCTGGATAGGTTGGAGAGCTGGGCGATCACCAACCGCATGAAGTTCAATAAGAGCAAGTGCCGGGTCCTGCACCTGGGACGGGGAAACCCTGGCTGCACGTACAGACTGGGCGATGAGACGCTGGAGAGCAGCCTAGAAGAGAGGGATCTGGGGGTCGTGGTAGACAGCAAGTTGAATATGAGCCAGCAGTGTGCCCTGGCAGCCAGGAGGGCCAACCGTATCCTGGGGTGCATCAAGCACGGCATCGCTAGTAGGTCGAGGGAGGTGATTGTCCCGCTCTACTCTGCGCTGGTGCGACCTCACCTCGAGTACTGTGTGCAGTTCTGGGCACCACAGTATAAAAAGGACATGAAACTGTTGGAGAGTGTCCAGAGGAGGGCTACGAAGATGGTGAAAGGCCTGGAGGGGAAGACGTACGAGGAACGGCTGAGGGCACTGGGCCTGTTCAGCCTGGAGAAGAGGAGGCTGAGGGGAGACCTCATCGCAGTCTACAACTTCCTCGTAAGGGGGTGTCGAGAGGCAGGAGACCTTTTCTCCATTAACACTAGTGACAGGACCCGCGGGAACGGGGTTAAGCTGAGGCAGGGGAAATTTAGGCTTGACATCAGGAGGGGGTTCTTCACAGAGAGGGTGGTTGCACACTGGAACAGGCTCCCCAGGGAAGTGGTCACTGCACCGAGCCTGTCTGAATTTAAGAAGAGATTGGACTGTGCACTTAGTCACATGGTCTGAACTTTTGGGTAGACCTGTGCGGTGTCAAGAGTTGGACTTGATGATCCTTAAGGGTCCCTTCCAACTCAGGATATTCTATGATTCTATGATTCTTATTGCTCTCTATAAGTACATTAAAAGAGGCTGTAGCGAGGTGGGGGTTGGTCTGTTCTCCCACGTGCCTGGTGACAGGACGAGGGGGAATGGGCTTAAGTTGCACCTGGGGTGTTTTAGGTTGGATATTAGGAAGAACTTCTTTACCGAAAGGGTTGTGAGGTATTGGAATGGGCTGCCCAGGGAAGTGGTGGAGTCACCATCCCTGGAGGTCTTTAAAAGACGTTTAGGTGTAGAGCTTAGGGATATGGTTTAGTGGAGGACTTGTTAGTGTTAGGTCAGAGGTTGGACTCGATGATCTTGAGATCTCTTCCAACCTAGACAATTCTGTGATTCTGTGATATAATCCTGCATTTGTCCCTTAGCCAGTGAGTGAAGTCATAAGGAAGCCAGCAGCTGGCACCCAGACCATCTGAAG